AGTGAGTCCTCGCAGGCAACCTTCACTCAGACGCGAGAGAACCAGTTTGTCATTGTCCCGAAATGGGCGATTGTCTTTTATTTTCTTCGCCCTCGAGGGCATCGTCTCGAGGGGCTTCGGTGTCGACCTCTGGTGGGAAAGGTTCGAATCACGCGCACCCAGAGGAGGTGCTGGCGGGTCTCTTTTTTAGTCTCTTTCTTTCTGCTCTTTCTGATGTTGGTTTGTTTTACTTATATTTTTGTTTCTTCTCTCCGTATGCTGTGCTTCTTATGTATGTGTTTCGGTTTTGATGTACATTCTCTCTCTCTCTCTCTCTCTCTCTCTCTCTCTCTCTCTCTCTCTCTCTCTCTCTCTCTCTCTCTCTCTCTCTCTCTCTCTCTCTCTCTCTCTCTCTCTCTCTAACTCGCTCTCTCTCTCTAAATCGCTCGCTCTCTCTCTCTAAATCGCTCGCTCTCTCTCTCTCTCTCTCTAACTCTCTCTCTCTCTCTCTCTCTCTCTCTCTCTCTCTCTCTCTCTCTCTCTCTCTCTCTCTCTCTCTCTCTCTCTCCCTCTCTCTCCCTCGCTCCCTCCCTTCCTCCCTCTCTCTCTCTCTCTCTCTCTCTCTCACACACACACACACACACACACACACACACACACACACACACACACACACACACACACACACACACACACACACACACACACACACACACATACACACACACACACACACATACACACACACACACACACACACACACCTGTAACTATCCAGCTATATATCAATCTGTCTCTTTGTGTGTATCAGCGTGTGTATGTGGATATGTGTCTGTACATGCGTTATACCCATCCAGGCCTTATTCACGACGCTTTCCTTCTCAATGTGTTGATTTTTTTTCCATTCCACTCTATTGTGTCTCCCGGTTCTCTACATCCCGTGCCATTCCCCTTTCTTAGCCATATCCTTGGAGATGACAGAACCCCAAAAAGCATTTCCCGCTCTCTTTCGTCTTTTCTCGTGCTCCGATATATATATATGGATTTTAGTATTATATGTATGTATATTCTAATTTATTACATTATATATATGAATAAGGTTTTTGAAGACGACCTTTACTCAACACGCATTGTTACCATCAGTCTTATGCGAATAAAGCCAGACAACGGGCTTCTAATGGAGGTTCCCGCGGGTGGCTTGTGCAGGGAGCAGACTGAGAAGGTACATTGGAGGTGCACATGCATTTCCTTGAGGAGGGAGAGGGGGGAGGGGGCTAGTAATGGGGGAAGGGGGGGTTTGGAGGGGAGTGAGATTGGGGTGTGGGTGGAGGAGGGAGAGAGGAAGGGGGGTGGAGAGAGTGAGAGAAACGTAAATGGGATGGAAATGGAGGCAGGGGGGGAGGGGGACAGATCGGAAAGTGATAGGGATATGTAGGTACAAAGAAAAGGTGGACAAGAGGAGAGAGAACAAAATTACATTGGATGGCTGACAGGCAAATAGGAAAATATTCAGATAGTCAGACAGGCCGACAAACAGACAGGAAGACAGACAGAGACACAAAAAATATAAAGCCGATAGAGACAGGATCACCATCTTCAAGGTTATGCCGTTGTCTGACCTCCAGTCAACCGCTTTCCTCCTCTCTACCTTGTTTAATTTTTTTCTTTTACCCTCGCCTTCTTTGTCCTGCCTTCGCTCGCCCCGGCCAACGGCTTCCCACAGGTGAATAAAACCGGTTTCATATTCACAATGCTGTTACAGTAATAGTTATGATTGGTGTAATGGTCACGATTACTACTACTGTTGGTCTTGTTATTACTATCACTGGTGTCACTACCACAACTACTGCTCCTATTCATATAGTTACGACTAAAACTACGAGTGCTGCGTCTAAAACGGCTTTTACTACTGTTGATATGTATTGCCTGCTACCGCCATCTCTATCACCCTCATCACCATCACCGCCGCCTTCGTCATTCTCAGCAACCGAAATGGAAACCAGAGCAGCCAGGAACAACCGCATGACTAAATGGCTGTCCTCGGGCAGTCTGTAGAAGGAGAGGGCGTGGTAGGGCAGGGCAGGGGAGGGGGGCCCACGGCAGGGGGTTAGGGAAGGGAGGGCAGGGGAGGGGGTTAGGGAAGGGAGGGCAGGGGAGGGGGTTGGGGAAGGGGCCGAGGGTTGGGGATGGGAGTATGTAAGGAAGGAAGGTATCCTGTAGGACTTAGGCGCTCCACTTAACCCCCAAGGCCAGGAGGGTGCGGTTGTTTTGTGTAGGATTCCCCTGGTGGCCGCGATGCCATTGCGTATGCCGTCGGCGAGAATGAAGTGGTTATTGCTAGTTCGTTATCGGTGCTAGTTACTGCTGGTTCATGGACGGGGTAAGTGCGATGGGTGAGGGGGGAGGGTAAAGATTTACATGTAAAGAACTGGTGGGTCTTTCATGTCTTTAGGGAGAAAGGGAAAATGTTAGGGGTTTAAGGGAATGCACTTCTATATTTCCATTTATTTAAACGACCATG